CGAGACGAGGCTACGACCAAAGGGTTGGGCGAGCCGGAGCCCGTGACCTTAGGGTCGGGCGAGACAGAGCCCACAACCAAATGGTCGGGCGAGCCGGAGCCCGCGACCTTGGGGTCATGTGAGACGGGGCCACAACCAAAGGGTCGGACAAACCGGAGCCCGCGACCTTGGGGTTGGGTGAGACAGGGTCATGATCAAAGGGTCGGGCGAACCGGAGCCCACGTCCAAGGGGTCGAGCGAGTCGGAGCTCGCACCCAAGAGGTCGGGCGAGTCGGAGCTCACACCACGCAAGACAGCAAGGGTAAAAGTGAAGTGTAGACTGTCTTGGCTGTGAATCTAAGGATGCTTGTGGTTGTTTGAGCACTTGGTAGCACATATTAGTTTAAGCATTGTGTTCCTCTTTATGGTACGGCTTTTTCTATAATCAAATTCAAGATATAAAAGAATCTTAAACCTCTTTTAAGTTTGAAGCCATTTATATTTGTAATTGGGGGCTCCTCCGTTTCGTGTAGCATCCTCGAATATAAATTGCCTGCTTGTCATCTCAATAAATCTCATTAGTTCTCTAATTGCGTGGTCATTATCACCAAAACCCACAATTAGGGCTTGATTGCACTTTCACATTTCACAACAAAAAAATTACTAGTTTAACTTTATAATCTTTATTTATATTAAGAGGAAGATTATATAAAATTATTGTCATATATACCTATTAATATCTTCTAGATAATAAAACCATACACAACACAACTAGATAATAAAATCGTCACAATGAACATTTCCGAAAGACTGGTCAGCACTCAAGATTTACAAAGTCACCCTAGACGTCATGTCGTCAACGGGCATATCGCTTACCACGAAAAAAAAACACCTTATATCCTAGGATAAATATAAAAAATTACGAGCACCCGTCAAATTAATGAATTAACTCGGACGATCATCACGAGGAACCTAACGAGTTGAGTTACGCTCAGTTTTTACATGTTGGCTTTTTAGTTGGCCCCCTAAGAGCATCTCCAAGAGCCTTTCTAAATCTCATTTTCTAAATTATCATTTGGAGAGTCATTTACATAAAAATCGCTTGCTATATTTTTTTACTCTCTAACAGTATTTTTATATATCATGCGCACTCTATAGAGCCATTCTCATATTCTATTTTTGGCTAACGAAAAATCCAAAATAGAAGGTGGCTATATTTGCATAACCATTTAGAGAAGATGTTGGAGAATAGTTTTTTCCCAAAATCTTTATTCCTAACATTTAGGAATGATATATCTTTTCTAATTTATTACAGGAATAGGGATATTAGTAAAAAAATACCCTCCAACAGCCTCTTCAATTGAATATCTAAATATAGATATCCTCTATTCCGAATTTCTCGTTAACCAAAGATGGAGAGCGAGGATGACTCTTAGGCTACACACAAGATATAAAAAAGCTATTGGAGAACACAAATATATAGAAAATGATTTTTACTCAAATACACTCTAAATAATGATTTATAGAGTAGATTTTAAAACAGCTCCTGAAGATGCTATAAGTATAATTCTTATAATTCTTGTTGTACAAGATGCGGCTTGAGTCGTCAGCCTCTGCATGAGGTGATAATGAGTGGGTGGCTGCTATGGAAGCATAGCAATGCTCCAGCGAGGCAAAGTGGGCCGGATTGGCAGGGTGATTGGCACTAACGATGTACGTGCGCGGAACGAGATCAGAGTTCGTGAGGTGCGCGGAGAGGAGGGTGAGGGCTAAGCACTGGCGGAACCACCCTCGAATTTTTTACTTTTTAGTTTTTTTTAAAAAGTTTCTCATAAATAGGTTTATAGAGAAAAATTTTAGAATCTGAACTCTTAGCTAGCATGGCGTCGAGCTTCTACTCGACGCTGACATGTGCTGTGCCTGCGTGCACGCGTTGCACTGCTCGCCCAGCACGGCACCATGTGCTAGCTACGCAGTACTGCTAGCAGAGACTTGATAGCAGTAGACGCAGCAAAGTCGTCGGACACATGGCCTGCTATATATATATATATATATATATATATATATATATATATATATATATATATATATATATATATATATATATTATAGTGCTATATGAAGTGCCGTGGCTGTATGCACAGCTGTGCTGCCCGGTGCCCCGTGCGTGGTGCGTGAGGGACATGTGGACACACTGGGTGCCAAGCGCGGAGCCGAGACGTGATGCCTGAGGTGACGTGTACCGTGTACGTGCGGCCGTGCTCTGCGCTGCGCCCGCGCGCTCTGCCCGTCCCGTCTGTGCTCTGAATTGATAACGTTAAAAGAGAGAAGGTTGGATAAGAACAAACAACAGTGAATGAGTTAAATATTTTTTAGGTGAGACACCATAGAGTTTTCTATCTTTTGATCAACAACAGATCTACGTACCAGAAACAGTTAAAATTGTAAATTTGATTTGTAATCACATAAATGTTTTTAAACTATATGTTAGCAAATTAATCTGCCACACATTACTATTCTGTTTTAGTCCTATCTTGCTAATCACGGCTGCTGTCCGTGCTTGTTAATTCCTGTCTTGCTCCCGCCATGGAACAATCACATGTCTATTAATTATATTAAATTGTTACTATTTTCCTTTACTCCTTGCAAAAAAAACTTTACACATATATTTATTTGTTAATTAAAATTTGATGTTGTAATGACAAATATTTTAATAATAAAACATGTATTCATCTCTTTTAATCATACCTCATGTTTTGGGAATCTTATGTTATAATTCCTACATTCCAAACACCGTTATCTATATGTTTCATATGTTTTTTTCATTCCTCTGTTTTCACACAACACATCTATATCATATTCATGCGTTTTCTTCTTTTCCTCTGTTTTTTTTTCCCGAACAGGCCCACAGAAGAACCAAACATGATGTAAGAGCGAGGAGGAGATGGCCGGGGAGCATGCAAAGCACGGTGGGTGGTACCTGGTTCGTGTGACTGACGTTCATGGGTACATAGGCCGGATGATGGAGGGACAGCGACGCCGAATTGAAGCAGCCACAGTGCCTTTACTTAGAGGAGCAGGCCTGAGCTAGCCGGCCTAGGTGCATGCGTGGTAGCGGCGATCGACGAGCGAGCGCGAGGGCGCAAGTGAATGCGCCAACAACCCAACAAAGAGGAGGTTGGAGAATTGAAATGCCACATTGAATTGAACAGATTTGCGTGCTTATTGCAATGAACAAACGATTGCGTGATTATTGCGCTGCGTGATTATTGCGTCTCCTAGAAAATGTATACAAATTCTACTACGTACATTCCAATGAACAAACGATTTGCGTGCTAGTGGTAGTGGCCACACGCACTGACGCACATCACTTGTGGAGCCTACGTGTTTCGTAGCTGACATTCTGACAACACACGACAACACATGGCAAGGTCAGGGCGCTAAGCTCAGCGCCAGCGTCTATGCTGGCGCCGAGCTCGGCGTCCTCTGTTACCATGGAAACTTGCCATCACATACAAAAGTTGTTACACAATGGAGTGCTACCATGTGATGGGCTGATAAAACAAAATTCTACACATCACTGCACATTATAGGTGATCGCCAGCATGACACGTGGAACTAGGGCCTAGGCTAACTTTCATTTCATTATATCATTGATATTTGTAGTAGTGGTAATGGGCAATTTACTTCATGTTTGGTAAAGATAGATGCATTATTGGTACTAAATCAAAACATTATTGATATTTGTAGTAATAATAGTAGCAGATATACTTGGACTGTCTGATAGCAGAGTGCCAAGTTACTGAAGAAAATACATTTCATTAACCAATGGTGTAGATAAACTTATATCATCCTACATGTGAGTATGTGACAGCTTCAGTAAAGCTAGTTCAGTAGTGCGGAGTACGTAGTAAGGCAGAAGTGTCCTCAATCCTCATATAGCTAGTTAATGGCCACTAGCTGCACCTCAGGTAACTTCGAATGAGATTTCTTTGGATATGATCCCTTCAAAAAAAGAGACTCTTAATCAGGGGTCTGCTATAGAGATTTTAAGTTTTATGTGCTCCAAGTGAGAAGCCTTATCAAAATTCGAGGCCTATTTCACTTACTGGAGTAGAAAAAGATCATCCCATATTGGACGAAATTGCAGATAAAAGACTGGACTAGATGTGCCTTAGCAGTGCAGCTGAAATCATCTCATCTGGCATCCAACACGCACAATAGCACATCCTAAGTTAAAACAAGTGGCGAGTGATAATTGCATTTTTACATTGCCACTGGAGAAAAAAATTCTGAAACGCAGTTGCTATTATTTAGCACTTGAACAGAAGTGGTTTTAAGCTTCTATTCAGCACTACAACAGAAGTGGTTTTCAGTTGGATGAAGGAAGCACCACTCATAAATCTGGTCTCCAGAAAAGATGAAACTTTAAATCTGGTCTGTAGAAAAGATGAAACGTTTGTGACTTTCCCACAATGGTATACGAGTGCATGTGCATATGTTCCTCGAAGAGTTTAGAGATCACAGGCCACTAGTTCACACAGGCAAGCAGGCAACATGTACGGTGAACATGAACTCTGAAGTAATAGGATGGTATTTTTTTTCCCCCTCGGAAGTAATAGCTGATACTTGGACTATCTGCTAGCCAAGCGCCAAGCATACTGATGAACTACATTTCAGTCCCCACAGGTAATACCTGGTATGAACTTATGATGCAAGTTTAGTAAGCTATGTGACAACTTGAGAGCATTGCTAGTCCAATAGGTAAGGTGGTAGTGTCCTCATGGCCAATGGCCAGTAACTGCATTTTAGGTATTCATCGAATTTTTTGATACACTTTTGTATGATGAAAACTACAAAAATGTACCGTGTATCTGCTAAATTTAAAAAGTAATAAAATATTATCTACCGGTGATACATTTCCAAAAATCATTCCTATGTGAAACAACTTTAGGTAAAATCGTATACCTGGAAAATGATTTTATTTTCGCAGAAGAAAAATATGTTTATGAAAAGTTTTTTCACGGGTGAATGAAAATGGAAAGTCGTCCTTCCAGCACGCCACTTGCCCACTTCTGATATTCGTCCCAAAAACGACTTCTCAAGGTGGCTTCTTTTTGCCTGATCCGAAACGAAAAACCGAGATCTCCAAAAATCTTGTAATCTTCCAAATAGATCCTAAAAGTCAAGTCCTGCCCAATTCAGAACATAATAATTCAACAGACTATACCACTCAAGGTCATCGCAGCAGCATGAACGACAGCCTCAAAACGTTGGGGGGAGCCCAGAGCCAAACAATGAAACAACCTTGTAAAAATTCAGCTTTATATACATGGCAATGGTTCAGCAGGTACACTTCTACATTCTTTACAACATAACCTAATATTTTGGATAATTTATACACAGCCCAACAACACAAAACAGACCACAATGTTCTTTGCTCCATGGTAGCGATTAGCGAAACACAGCAGACTTTGCTTCCTTTTCTTTTTTTCTCATATATAGGTTACCTTTTGTTAGTTGCAGGTAAGTAGGTTAGCAGAGTTTTGAGCTTCAAAACACCCCATCTCATATCATAAAACCACCTGTCTTTGATATTAATATACCTCTCGGCAACCAAACCAAATCGAGAAAACGGACTTCAGGACACCGATCTTCCATAACAGATGGAAGCTAGGTACAGGTTCTTGGACCATTTGTCCTGTAAATAGATTGATCAGGAGGTAGGAATAAATACAAAACCCCTTACCTGGAGCTCACAAAATTCACATCGAAAAAGGAGAAAGGTCAAGCTACCTTCACATGCTGGCTAGGAAAAGCAGATGTTCTCAGGGTCTCCTGTGTTTCATCAGTAGGCTTTCTCCTTGGTATGCTCAAGATAAAGGCCGCCTGGTCCCATGTGGCAGCTGTTGCCGTGATGCGATAGCCATTGTCCCAACGCATGTGGATGCCCTCACTCGGATATAAGAAATCAAGCTCCACTACCTACAAAAGAAATTGGTATGTTTAGTATTATGCTTCAGTAATTTAACCTTTGTAATTCTCAATTCGCATATTCATAGAATCTTAAATTCTTTCCAGATTAACTTTAGCAGATCTACCAGTCAATTTCATTCCACTGTAAGGTTGTGCACACTTAAGACCAAGGGCACAGTAACACATACCTGAGAAGTGAAACCAGCATTGCGGGACATGACAACTGCCCATCGGCTTCCAGCTGTTGCCATAGCAGTGACATAGAAGCCCTCCTTCCACTTTTTGTTTATCCATTTGAAGGGAAATGTATCGCTTACTTTGTAGGACTGCTGGGCATATTGTGTTCCTGGAGAACGGAGAACCAGAGTCATTACTTGTTTATTTATATATAGTTATATACCAATCGCAACAACAAATATCCAAGGGTTCCCATTCCCACTTTGGACAGCATCAAACCAAAACGCCGATATGCCTATTACAAATTCCTATAGCTTATCAGTTACCGTCAAGAAAAGAAGATCGGGCTTTTTTGGATGAAAGCTTAAGCACATCTCCTTCATGAAGCATTGTGACCATGGCTCTACAGTAGATGCTAAAGGATTTTCTTTAAGGTTTCGATACCAAGGATCAGAAACAAGGTTCTTAAGGCGGTAAGGCGAGACGTGGAGAGCCACCCCCTTCCAATTGCCAAGGCGACGCCTAGGCGCTTGTAAGGCGAGGCAAGGCGACGCCTACCAAATATAAGAAACTTTAATACAGCAGTGTGGAGTAGGAAGAAAAAGGGGAAAAAAGAAGAAAGGAAGGAGAAGAGGGTAAGAAGGGATTGGCCCAGCCCACTAAACAGCCCATATCCTCTCCCGTTGCTTGACCTACCTGCGGTTCCCCCAATTCACCATCGAGAGCCACCGCTACCCCCTCAGCCCCTCCCGTGCACAGTGCGCTCTCTCCACGCATTCGCTCCTCTATTGGATATCCAGAAACGCATCTGACGCCCACAACTTCTCCCTGCCTCTTCCCTTCCCTTTCATCACTGCTCTGCGCTCTCAGATCCACTGATGCTGCCGCCCCCTTCCAGATCGACCGTACCACAGCTGACCAGACGCTGCAAGCCTTTGCTGGCCAGCTCCCCAACTATTCTTACATTAAAAAAATTCCAGGAAGCCCAGAATCCCAGCACGCCTAATCGCTTAGGTGATGCCTTGAAAGCCATGATCAGAAAACAAAGGTGTTAAAAAGTTGAGGGATGGATGTGGTGCCATATTTCTACACACTGGCGGAGCTTCATTGAGGCCAAAAGGGCCATGGCCCTCCCTAATTTTCCATATTGCTTTGAAGTTTTATACTTAATCATGTTTAAACATTGCTAATTGAGCTATTTTAGCACTGGTGGCCCCGTCTAATATTTATGAGCCACTGTTTCTACAGGAGATTTGTGAGATGAATCTTGACACTAGATAATATGCAATGATTTTCCTGTCACCAAGTATGTTCTGCAGTCCAGGCATCAAGCTCAAACATTGACATTAATTACCTCTTGACATAATCACCAAAGAGCTTCCATTATTCGCACCAGCCAGTGCAGTGATATAGAAATTTCTCTCCCACTGCTCCATTATCCATTCCTAACACAGTACAAGCAAGTTAAAAACTGTAACAACATAAAACACCACTATGCAAAAGACAATGAGACATCATTGAGGATGTATAATCAGTAAAGTGTTGACGTACAATCATAATCAGAGAACAGTAAATCTTTGAAGGTTTTTTTTTCTCTCAAACAAGCAGGAGAACTGCACATCATTATATTAAGAAGAAAAAAGGGGAAGAACCCTTACAGATCTTTGAAGTCAACAGAATTGATTGCTTACCTTGTGAAGAAAGTAATTAGAAAGTTCGTATACTTGAGATGTAAAACCAGTGCCAGCATCCATAATTAAAGCCCACAGATTCAAGCTGGAGGCAACTGAACTAATAAACAAGCCATCTTCGTTTCCCTTTTGAATATGCTGCAGCAATCTATTATCCGCTACATTGTAGTGGTACCTGATAAACAAATGTGGTAAGACAATGGAAAATTCATGTTACTGCCATTATGCAGATATATGCATCATGCAGACCTCTGTTTCATAGGTCGGCGGGCATTGTAGACACTAATCCACTGAGTTGCCGGCATCCCCATTCTAATCTTTTTCTTAGGTTGCTCATCATCATTTTCGTCCACTATTAAGCGGCCTCTCTTCTGGCCGACCTGATATATTAGCTGGCAGAAATCCGAGCATAGTTATTAGGCAGATAACTTGCGTTACATGAATGCAAAAGGATATGATTTATAACATGCAATCGAAATTGAAAATGCAGGATAAACTATTGTACTTTTGCCAAATATCTTTTCCACTGCATGACATGTTAGGCACCAAAAGGGATTGCTGTTTACTCTAAAAGGCAAATGCCTTCATACGGCCCATAATAGCAATACTGTGTTGTCATTATCACATAAGCCATAGATAGTATTACACTGTCGACATGAGATCAAAATTAATTTTATATGTATGATATAGCAGATTCCCCCTAAGGCCATAAAGTTTAAGTCACAGGATTATACCAATGTAGTGAACAGACAATAGGGATTCTTGGCGAATAATGATTTTTAACATATATTGGTCCGTAGCTAATGGAATCATGAACTACTCAGCAGAGACTGCATGGCCGCAAGTCCTTAGAGCTAACGAACATAAAGAGATCACAGTTCAGAGGATCAATGTACCTTTTGGGCACCATCTGTGTTTATCGGTCTTATGTCTGGATTTGGGCCAACAATGCCATCAAAAAGAGAGATGCACTTCGCATAATTTGGTTCTTCATCAAATTTCAAGTTCACGACATACTCAACAAAATTCCGGAAAGGTTGCGGACAAATTCCACACAAAGACTCCGGAGATGTCGCCATCTTTTTCTTGCAGACAAGAAAACCTTTGTTCTCTCCCTAAATTGATTGAAGAGTGGAATAACATATAAAAAAATTATGAGTATTTATATTAAAAAAACAAAAAAGTAGGAGTAAGAATAAAGGTGACCAGAACATCAACTAAAGTACTAAACTAACCTGGTATCCTTGCCAAGGGAGGCGGCCACGGAGAAGAAAAATAAGCGTGTATGCGAGGGATTCAAGATCATCTCTCCTGCTCCCAGTCCTTCCCAAGTGGGCATGCACACTAGCATAGCGAACAGTTCCCCTGTTTATGAAGGAAACACAAATGTCAAAAGCATTGCAATGAAATAATGTGAGTGGTAAAGCACATCATACTACTATTCCCAGCCGAACCTAAAAATATCAGGTCTCTGATCATATTCAACGTGGTGCCCCGTAACAGCATCCTTCCATTTAGTAGCTGCAATAGTACAAAATAATATATTAAAAAGAAACAACATAAATATCTGACACCAAATAGACGTAATACAAAAGTTGAATCTGATTACAACTTACCCAATCCAAGGTCAACAAGAAAAAGCTTCTTCTCTTCTGGGGTACCAGGAGGACCAAGCAAAAAGTTCTCAGGCTTCACATCACCATGGACATACCTGTGTTATATACACATCTTAAGAGGTCCAGTTTTAAAACAACCATATAAGAAACAAAGTTCCATCTCAACAACAGAAAGCAAATCACCCTTTAGAGTGCATCTTTTCCAGTATGGAGATTGCCTCTATACCTATGCAAGCAACCATCTCAACAGACATCCTGTAAAAGACAAGTTCGGGAATGATTCAAAAAGTCAAATAGAAACAGTAGAGTTGAATTGCAAAGAATGTGCAGATACCCACGAGTGGGAATTATTATTCCAAACATCCCATAGGCTTGGTCCCAACATATCCATAACCTACATGCAAACGAAATACGATTAACAAGAATCAAGTTTGTTAATAGTTATCAAGGAAAGAGGGCCAAAAGAAGATTTGCACCAATACCATCTGAGTATCTAATTCTATGTCACTATGTGCATAACTGTAGTGAAACAAATATAAGAAGGTTCATTGCCCAATACCATGATGTAAAACTCTCCCTGCTTTCCCTTGTAGTGTACCCGTGGGACACCATGGTTTCCACTGAGAGTGCTGCCAAAGGGACACATAAGCAAGACTAGTTAAATGTACCCCAAGAAATAACTAGAACCATAAAGGATTATACAGATCGAAAGGACATTAACAACTCAGTACTTACTTGTAAACTTGCCACTCATAAGGAGCTCCATAGTTGCAACCTTTGCTGGTTTGATGTTCAAATTTCAGTGCAACCTGATAAATATAGAAGCATGAAAATTGATGGAAGTACGCTTGTCCAGTTCCTACACTATGAAGCATTTATGGAGATATAGTGACCTCTAAAGCATTTGAACCAGGGTTACGGTCACTGAGACGAGGAGCTGAAATACGTCGACCAACGTATACTTGTCCAAATCCTCCCTTTCCAAGCTTCCTTTCAAGTCTATAGGTTGGTGAATTCCCAATTTGTACCTGTTTCAAGCACGTGTGTGAGCATCTGGAGCAAATGAGCAGATAGCAGAACAAATCATGCAACCACAAACAAAACACACCAATAACTGAATAATCTACCCCAAATTTAACATTATATAGCATGATGCAATATCTAATGAATATGTACATGGAATCAATTGAGAATATCTTAGATTGATCACCGGAATCCTACTAATATATTTAATCTGTGCCTACAAGAACTGCTACAGTGTGCCTCGCACGCACGCAATAAACTCATTTAGCCCAAAAATACCTTCTAAGTCTACCAGCATACTGATGTCTGGTTTGAAATGCAGTAATTTCAAAGGACAGTATATTTCTGGCACGAATCAAAAGAAAATCCACTGAGAACAGGGTGAAAGAATCACAACAGCAGAGCACCCAATTCAAGGGCTACTACCTCTGAAAATGAGGATTGGTAAATGTAACAAAGATCCAGATCCATACAGGACAAGGCAGAGGAAACAGCAATTGAGACTAGGGGAACCAAGTCTCATAAAACATGTGCAAATTGCTTATATATTGTGATAGTAGTGTACAGTAACAAAATTTCAGAAGCTTATCCTGCAAACAATATGATCCCAACACAAAGCCATTTCTCTGTTTTTGTTTTACAAAATGTTAAATCAATCATGCCAAATGGCATGTGGAAACATACATTATTGATGTTGCATAAAACTATAAATGCTGCTAACATTGGTGTGCATGGCAATCTAGAATGTTCATTTAACCACTCTAGTTTTACAGACTACAGAGATGTGTGAGCCCAGCTAGACATAGAAGAAAGAGCGCAAAGAAACAAAAATCAAAAAGATAAATGATCAAATTTCACTCACTACCAACACCTATACAGCAGGATCAGTACATCTGACGGCATGGCCATTCAGCCATGCCTGTACGGCATGGAAAAGGTTCCGAAACTACAAAGAATAAGGAACATTTATTGTTAGGACCTTACTACCCCCCAAAGTCCACTAGTTAATAACCAATCATCTCCTTCAGAGTCATGATCAACAGCAAACTCCATAATCCATATATGTCCGTAGAAAGCGGCAAGCGGACGCTATTAAAATAATGACATATTGGGACATGATGAAGCAGAATTCGCGCCACTCGAGACAAACTAAAAGAAACAAGCAGCGACAAAAAGGTCCGTGTGTCATACATATCCGCTTCCAAAATAACGGATTCATTAAATTCCATCCGGATGAGTAACGTCTCCCACAAACTGCAATTGGCTAAACACCATATATAGCAACACGTAACCACTTCAAACTAGCAAACACATTCCGCGCCAAATCCAGCAGTTCAAATTGCAACTCCCATGACACACCATATTCCGCGCCAAATCCTACCCTAGCTTCAGAATTGTCCCATCTAGGATAAAACCAGTTGGAGAGATTGTACATATATACATTTGTTGTCTTCCCAACTATGTTTGCTTCCCTTTTCGGTTCTCAACTTCTCATAGGTGCTAATTTGCGTAGCAACAACCACTAACGAACTCATTGTGCAACAAACATACCATCTCACCATACTTGGGTTATCAATCGAACCGAATCCGGCCGCAGTTCACAGTCGTGAGCGTTTAATCAAGCAACAGAACACCAAGGGCCCCGAAATTTCCATAATAAGCATCTAAACTACGAAGGGAGAGATCAGGAGACATCTGGAGCTTACCGTCTGGGGCAACGGTGGAGCAGCCCCGTCGTCGCCTCCGGCCGCGGCGGCGCCCGGCTTGTCCCCGCTCCGGCCGCCGCTGTCGAACTCGTCCATCCCTTGGCCACGCCCCCACCTCCCGCTGCTGTCGCTGCGACTACTGCTGCTGCTACAGCACCACCAGACACCACGCGGTTCGCGGTCCGGCTACTGAATTCCGCTGCTGCCACCCTCCACGGCCTCGGCGCGCGCAACCGCGGGGCGCTGGCATCCGTCACGGACTCAGCCCCATGGCCGGCCCGCGTCCGGAGAGGAGATCGGGCCGGGCGGCGAGCGGATACCGGCAGAGACGAGGGCGCGCTGGGCTAGGGTTGGTTCCCGGCGGCAGATGAAGCGGTCGGCGGGAGGGCGGCGACGGGGACGCTGGTTGAGGACGAGGGGAGCAAAGGAGGCGGCACGGCACGGCGCAGACAGCAGCACGGGGAATAGGAAAAAAAATAATTCTCGACTACTACTATTCCATGCGCTCTGTTTCGGGCTTTGCGATTTTGCCTGACCCAAGAGCTTACGTAGGTTACGAGGTTTACGTCTTCTGGTAAGATTTACGCCATCAAAGTCCATGACTTGTCGACTCGTGGTCGTTCTTTCGATCTTTCCTTAGCAGACAAAGATAGAGACAGAGATACGGTAGAGATATATGGATATATATATCAATATAGTCTAAAACAATATTTTTTTGCGAGGATAGTCCAAAACAATATGAAAATAAGGGTTTCAAATAAAAGACAATAAAGTAACTTATAATTCTTTTTTTTAGATTGAAGTAACCCAGAATTCTAGTTCTACTAGATGTTTTGGTTTTTTAGATACATTGCTAATTATGTATAGACATAGTGGATATCTAAGTGCATAGCAAAATCTATGTATCTAAAAAAAGGCAAAATGTCTTATAATTGGAATGGAGAGATTAATAGTTTTTTTAGGGGTGAGAGATTAATACTCCCTCCATTCCAAATTATAAGACGTTTTGGCTTTTTCTAGATGCATTGATTTTACTATCTACCTACACATAAGTATATATCTAGATGCATAACAAAACCTATGTCTCTAGAAAGCTAAAACGTCTTATAATTTAGAATGAAAAGGAGTAGTTAGTATTATAATAATAATAATGGTTTTAATAAACCTCTCCCATTAAAAGAGTATGATAATAATAACAACACAAGAGTGAAAGAAAAAAAAACACATGTCAAAAGAGGATGTAGGTCAAAAATGTTTCTGTTTATCTAAAAAAGAAGTATAAGTTCACACTGGAAGGAGCTTGAGCTTCTCCACATATTGGCTGAAAAACACGGTTCCGGCTGAATTGTTGTGAGAGAAAAATGATTTTCCGACTGAAAAAAGAAGCCGAATAAGCCGGACTATAAGGTAAGCCGAACGGGGATTATCTAAAAAAAAGAAGTATGAGTTGACACCAGATGTGTTTGTGTGTGTGCACGCCAATATGTGAGTGCGAGAAAGAGGGAGGTTGTTTGTGTTAAAACCGGTAGTTGTTATAGATGTTTCTTGGCCTCGGCTATACATAGGTAATTAGGTTGTAACCTAACAGAAAACTAATAAGTCTTAAAATGGCAAGGACTAGCCAGGAGTAAATCCCAAAGCAATTTGGTCACAACGTCTTCAACGGCCATGTTGACAAAGCTAGCTAAGATGGAGGTATAAGAGAAAAAAGAAAGAATATGTCCCACATGTAATATTTTTTATCCTTATAATCTGTTGGTTGGATTATTATAATTCAACCAATAATCTAGGGTGTTTGATCACCTTGAGATTATTTTATCAGATTACTATAAACTAAAGTTGACCCAAACAAATCGTTGGTTTAGTGTGTATGAATGATACATAGTTAACATCATAATATATTTCTTAGCTATGAAAATGTGCAATTGATTAAGGTAGACAAACATATTTCTATACATGATTTTGATAAGGCAGTTTCATATACATATAAAGTTATGTAAACAACATTGGCGGTAGTAACCTTCTATTTTTTATCCGTTGATGAGCCTTATTTCAATCCGTTCATGAAATGACAACACCCATTTGAACTCTATAGGTCATCAAGAGGTTTCATATAGGGTTTTCTAGCTCACTGATTTGACTTATGTGCAACGTTCAACTTAAGAACAAGTTGAATATTGATTTAGCAGAATGACAAAGATATTGAAGAATCGGACTGGAACTAGATTGACAATTTCAAATTAAAGGGTGTGATTATCATGGGAAATGAGTGACAGGAAGGCAACAAGGGTGGTGAGCGTTGTCGCAAATTCATTCAAATATATCTTTTAATTGGCACTACTTATGTCTCCTTTTCTGTTTGTGAAAATTATTAGGAAATTTTATGATGCATAAAGTTTAAGAACCAACCGCTTCAAAATGAAGATGTGGCATCACTAATGACGAATCCTATCAGTATGGCTGTATGGGCACACATGATACCCTAGTGCAAGAAATCCCCATTGATCTTGGTAATGTGGCTAAAGGAGGGACGAGGAGGTTCATGAAGCCACAAACAATGGTGTTTAGATTGAGGAGGTTTCACATTCCCTTGCAAATGCAAAGAAAGACCTCAGGTTGTCCTATAAAAAGCCAAGAAGCACAAGTCTAGGACCTCACCTGTTATTCAAGAGTAAGTGACAAAGATAACTGAACAAGCCACTTCTTGTACTTCAAGGAAAGGCAAACGATGTATGGGTCTTGTTCTTGCGCGCTTGTGGACCTCCATGAGCATACAATGCCATGAGTTATTGGTGAAGAAAGGCCAAAGGGATATTTTCATGGTCCTTCCAACTAATGAATGAGATTAAGCTGAAATGCTTCAAGAGGATGTGGAATGAGCAAATGGCAAGTATGGAAACTGAATTAGAGTATCATGTTGACTATTTTCACTTGTCATTTAGAACATTTTCTATTTGTTTCATCGATGGGTACTTGAAGTCACTTGAGTGCAACATCTGTTGTCTACCCTATTCGCTTGAACTTATCAGCCTGGCTTATTAGCCATGGTAAAGTGTCTTTCTCTCATAACAAATCAGCGAACAGTACTTTTCAGCCTGCCTTTTCAGCAAAACGAAAAGTACTGTTCGCTGATTTGTTGTGAGAGAAAGACACTGTACCATGACTGATAAACCAGGCTAATAAGTTCAAGATCTGTTGTCTATTCTCTACGTGGAATTATGCACTTATCCTTAAGGCGGTGAAACTATATCAATGTACCACATACTTTTTTTTTTGAAATCAATGTACCACATACTTGTGTGACTTGGCTTTGAAATAGACACGTTTCATTGGCACAAAACCAGAAAAGCCACAGCCATTAGAATATCTCAGCAATTGCTAATTCAGCTATGCAAGAAATGGACAAATGGTATCGCATACTCACGTCAATCAGTTAAAGCGGCTGAATGAAATGCCCGCTGACAGGTCAGTAGTGGCACTGCAAAATGGAGCAAACCCACGAATGACACCGTCATATAAACTGGACAAAAAATATTGAAATTGCAATTATTACCCATCAATTCAGTGATAAAAAGTTGTGTATCATTCACAATTTCAGTGTTAAAACACTAGTCCCAATCCTTGGTACAATCACTTCAAATTTTAAATGTTGAGTACAATCTACTGTGCAATATACTGAAACTGTAGAGATCAAGATGGCATATGCCACAAACAGAAAATTGGGTTCAGTGACCCAATATTCACATCAGCTATCGTACATCAATAGGTATCCAAAACAGAGCTGAAATCGCAGCCACGATAATTGAGATAAGACCAAGATGAATTGATCCCCTCCAGACCAAAATTAGGAATGCCATGGAGGCTGAAGGGCTGAAGCGTTGATAAGTTTGGTGAATTGATTGATCCCCTCCAGATAGAGACATCCAAACATCATTGCGAGATTCTGCAATTAGCGTCAAAAAGTCATTCAACCGCAATCTCTCACCTAATGACAATTATTAAGCCAAGATTGCAAATTCGAACTGTAAAAAGTGAATGTTAGACACTTGGCTAAAGAGGAAAGGAATTGCTAGCCAAATATAAACAAACAGATAAGCAGGCATGCACGTATATCAACACCACGAAGCATTCTTCCCTTCATCCCGTCCAGTACAGTGACATACAATATTGGTCATAACATATATAAATCAACATTTCATACTTTGAAAAAAAAAAGAGCTACTTGTGCTATAATCCCACATCAATCTGTACAGGCTAGTAAATTAAGTTAGCAGACGGTAATACCACACAATTCAACAATAGTCACAAATACAACAAACTGCAAGATAGCTATGACAAATTCCTTGCACTCTTGATAAGGAGTTACTAGAGTACATTCTACTAATTCTAATCCTAGAAGTACTCTAAATAAGGAATTACAAGTACATTCTAGGATTAGGATAAGGCAATCAGCTAAGACCATGATTGGCTTTGCAGAACAGTACACTAGATGCAGGAGTTTCTAATCACATCCTAATCAAATTTTAGAAAATGGAGATGCTAACTGCATGACAGCTACGACATATAATTCTAATATTCAAGACTAGGATCAGGCCAGTGCAGGAGTCAAGACAGTAAAATAGATGCTTACTTTCACAAAAACTAAGAATATAAAATGAAATTGTATGTCACATCAAATAGCTCTAAGGGCAGAATGCTAATTGTTAGATATATATGGTGTATAGCATATTTTCCTCTTCGTATAAGGGCTTACATGCATATATGCCCAACTCATGTACATGTTTGGGCTGTTGCCCCCAGGAATTGAGAGAGCTTCATTCCTTCTAACATGGTACCAGAGCCTAGGGTCTAGGGTTTACCTCGCTCCCTCGCACGCTCTTCCCGTTGCGCTTGCCTGGAGCTCCGTCGCCCGTTGGCTCTCTCCCTCGTGTGCTCTTCCCGTTGCACGCTCCGTAGCTGGGCGTGGCCCCGCCGTCGCGCACTCTCCGCGGCCGGGCGCGGTCCCGCCATCGCGCGCCTTCTGCGGCCGGCGCGGCCCCGCCGTCGAACTTCCTCCGTTCCCGCGCGCGCGCTTGATTCTCCTCCTGCGCGCGCTCATCTCCCGCGCAGCTCGCGCCCCTCTTGCATCCTCTGCTGTTCTGCTCTGCTCTGCTTTCGGCGCGCGCGGCGCTGGCTGCCACGGTGGTGTCTTTGTGCCGCGAAAGCTGCTGTTGTCTGCAAGGCTGCGACGTCGAGATCCACGCCGCCAACAAGCTCGCCTAAAGAAGCACCAACGCCTCCCGCCGAGGCGCTCTCCGCTGAGCTCTCCAGCTGCCGCGACGTCGCCAGAGAAAGCAGCGTTCATCTTCTGCGTGGAGGACGGGCGCTCTTCTGCGGGATCGCGACGAGCCCATCCACGTCCCGGCACGCTCTCCGGGAACCACCGGCGCTACTGGCCATCGGCATCGCGTCGGCCGCGCTCCGCCTCTTCGCTCGCTCGCTAAATCCACCTCTCTGCCTGCTCTGCTGCTGCTCTGCGCTCGCTCTCGCTTCTGCCGTCCGTTAATTCGCTTGCTGCTTTTTTCGCTTTTACGGAGAAAGAAAGATGGCATCTCCTCCTGTTCCTTCCTCTGGAGGCGCGCAAATCCCGCGTTGTCCAGTGATTTTCGATGGCACCAATTATCATGACTGGGTTCCATGCGTGGTCTCCGACTCTGGGAGTTTCTTAGTGGTGAGCTACCTTGTCCAGCATTGCCTGATCGTCCAGTGCAGCCGGTGATTCCTCCAGAAAATTCTGAAGAGGAACAAAAGAAGTTGCGTGAAGCTTATGATGATGATATGGCCTCTTACATGTCTCATTTTCGGGCTTATCGAACTTGGTTGGATGAAGATGCTCGTGCTGGGGCTGTTCTTGTTGCTAGTATGGAAAAGCATCTAGCAGGAGAGGTTATTCGGCTTGATCATGCTGCTCAGATGTGGGCTGTTCTTCGTCAGCGCTATGAGCCCTCTGGTCAGTCCACTTATATTGCCGCCCTCGTCAAGAACAATCATTGCAAAGAGGTGGTGATTGATTGAGGATTTCTTTCGACAAACTATCTCGCAATATGGCGTGTGCTTGACACTCTTAGTCCCCGATTGTCCCGGACACTTGTGACTCTCGCAGCTGCAGGAAGCAACAGAAAGCCACCTCGAGCTTCGTCGCACCTATGACTTCTCGACTTCGTCTGCGTCTTTGAGTTTGAGCCCCTTCGTGCTCAATTACTTGCTCGTGAGCCGTGCGTGTCTTTGATGGAGGCTCTCTTGCTTTGTTCGTAATGAGACTTCGCCGTTGTCTTTGGTCTACTTGATCGACGTCCTCCTCGATCCCGTGCTCGTTGCTCGAATTCTTGGTTCTCCTCCCAAAGTGCACCTTGGCTGACCTCACAGTGGCTCGGGACTCATAACTCGGTGTGGCCTTCATTGTAAGCCTTGTGGCGAGAGATGGACATGATGAGGATCATTGTTACAAGAAGAAGAAGCGAGGCTCGGTCTCGATCTCTCGCCGAGGTGGGCGTTCCTCACATGCTCGGTCTCAGCATCCTGATGCACAGCAGGAGATACTCATGTTACTTCGTCGTCTTGTTGTTCCTCCACCTATTCCTCCACCTACTGGAGCCTCTGGTTCTGTCACTACTGGAGCTGCTGGTTCTGTCACTCTTGCCCCAGTACTCTCTGTTGCTACTTCTCAGTCTTTTATTGAGAGACCACCATCCACTTGTGTATCTTGCCATGGATTCTTGATTCGGTGCTTCTTTTCATATGACACCTAATAGTACCTCTCTTTCTTCTATTTGCTCTCCTTCCATTCCTCCTCTCTTTATTTCAAGCTAGCGATGGCTCATCTCTTTCGGTTATTGGTGGGGCACTCTTTCTTCTTCTTCATTTCATGTTCCTAATGTTTCTTATGTTCTGATTTGACCATGCAACTTATTTTCTTGGCGACTCACCGATCATGGTTGTCGTGTTATTTTTGATTCGACACTTGCGTGGTATGGGATCTCAAAGACGGGTCTCCTAGTTGGTCTTGGCCCTCGCCGCGCCGTGATTCTCCGCATCTCTGGGAACTCGATTGGCTTCGTCTTCCTTCCTTCCGCCTCTGCTTGGGTCTTGTGAGCTCGCTTCTCCTCGTGATCGGCTTCTTCCTCTTTTGCTCGGTGGCATCATCTTTGGGACATCTATGTGGTTCCCGCTTATCCGCTCTTGTCCGTCGTGGTGTTCTAGGAAATGTCTCTGGTGATGTTTCTTTAGATCGATTGTCGTGGTTGTAAGCTTGGCAAGCAGATCCGACTTCCATATCCTCTAGTGGGTCGGTGTCACACGTCGTCCTTTTGATCTTGTTCATTCGGATGTATGGGGTCCTGCACCTTTTGTTTCAAAAGGGGGTCATCAATATTATGTCATATTTATCGATGATTTCTCTCGCTTCACATGGTGTATTTCATGAAACATCGTAATGAGGTGTTATCCATATATAAAACTTTTGCTCGGATGATTCGCACTCATTTTGATGCTCCTATTCGTGTTTTTCGGTGACTCTTGGGGAATATCTTTCGGGTGCTCTTCGCCAATTTCTTTACGAGCAAGGAACTCTCTCACAATTTTCTTGTCTCAGCGCGACGCTTTCGAATGGTGTTCTTTGGCGTAAACATAAATCACCTTCTTGAAATTGCTCGTGCTCTTATGATTGCTTCCTCGGTCCCACCTCATTTCGGGTGAAGCAATCTCCCACCGCCAAACTATTTAACCAACATTCAACCCTCATCCGCTCTTAAAGGTGGCATCCCATATGAGCGCCTTTTTGGACATCCACTGATTACTCTAGTCTTCGCTTTTTGGATGTCGTGCTATGTTCTTCTTGCTCCTCGTGAACGCACTAAACTCACACATCAACTGCTGAGTGTGTTTTCTTAGGCTATAGTGTTTGAGCACAAGGGCTATCGTTGTTGGGACCCGACTGCTCGTCGTATGCGGATCTCTCGGGACGTTACTTTTGATGAGTCTCGTTCCTTCTATCCTCGGCCCTCCTCTGATGCTCCTCAGGCCGTTGTTGAGCCTCTGTCCTTCTTGACTTTTCCTGACACACCTATCTCCACTGTGCTTCTTCCTCCGTCACCATCTCCACCTCCTAAACCATCTTCACCTCCTCCACCTTCTCCTCCGCTGCCCTCCGAGTCTTCTTCACATGCTCCTCGGTCCATTTATGATTCCAAACTCCCGTGATTCACACCTACGATCGTCGGCTCTGGATTCCTCGCCTCTGTTGAGTTGCTTCGATGTCTCCTCTCCTTGAGCCATCTTTGGTTGACGATTCTTTATCTCAGCCCTCCTCTCATTATAATCTTCGCGATCGTAGCTCATTTGAAGCCTCTTGATAGGTATGGGTTTTCTTTGCACTTTGTCTTTTCTCGAGCGGCCACATACCATGATGCCATTTGTCATCTGAATGGCAACTAGCCATGGTCGAGGAGATTGCTGCTCTTGGCGCATTGGCACTTGGGACCTTGTCCTCTTCCTTCTCATGCTCGTCCCATCACGTGCAAGTGGGTTTATAAGATCAAGACTCGCTCTGATGGCTCTCTCGAGCGTTATAAGGCTCGTCTTGTTGCTCGTGGTTTTCAACAAGAGTATGGTCGTGATTATGATGAGACATTTGCTCTCGTGGCTCACATGACCTTTGTTCGCACTCTCCTTGCTTTGTGGCCTCTGCTCGCGTGCTTGGTCCATTTCTCAACTTGATGTCAAAAATGCCTTCCTTAATGGTGAACTCCGTGAGGAGGTCTACATGCGACCACCTCCGGGTATCTTGTTCACGAGGGCATGGTTTGTCGTCTTCGTTGCTCTCTTTATGGTGCGAAACAAGCTCCTCGTGCTTGGTTTCGCGCTTTGCCTCTCTGTGATCATTCTTTGCTGGGTTTTCTCCAAGCAATCATGACCCCGCCTTGTTTATTCACACATCCCCTCGTGGTCGCACTCTTCTTCTTCTTTATGTTGATGATATGATTATCCTTTGGTGATGATTACGAGTATATTGCCTTTGTCAAGGCACGCCTCGTGAAAGCGATTTCTTATGTCGATCTTGGTCCTCTTCGTTATTTCCTTGGGATTGAGGTCTCTTCCACCTCTGATGGCATTTACTTATCCCAAGAAAAATACATTCAGGATCTTCTTGCTCGCTCTTGCCTCACTGATCATCGCATTGTTGAGACTCCCATCGAGCTTAATCTTGACTCAGTACTCTTGATGGTAAACCTCTCACCGATCCCACTCGGTATCGTCATATTGTTGGGAGTCTTGTCTATCTAGTTGTGACCCGTCCTGATATCTCATATGCTGTGCACATTCTTAGTCAATTTGTTTCTTCTCCCACCCATGTCCATTATAGCCATCTCCTTCGTGTCTTGCGTTATCTTCGTGGGACCATTACTCGTCGTCTGTTCTTCCCGCGTTCTAGCTCTTTTCAACTCCAAGCCTACTTTGATGCTACTTGGGCTAGTGACTCTGATCGTCACTCTCTTTCTGCCTATTGTATTTTTCTTGGTGGCTCTCTCATTGCTTGGAAGACAAAGAAGCAGACCGCGGTCTCTCGTTCGAGTGCAGAGGCCGAGTTGCGAGCTATAGCTCTTGCAACAGCAGAGGTCACTTGGCTTCGATGGTTACTTGAGGATTTCAGTGTTTCAGTTTCTATGCCCACTCCTCTTCTGTCTGACAGTACCAGTGCTATCAATATAGCTCGTGATCCTGTGAAGCATGAGCTCACCAAGCATATTGGAGTTGATGCATATTACACTCGGGCTCAGGTGCAGGATGATGTCATTGCTCTTCGCTATGTGCCCTCCGAGCTCCAGGTGGCTGATTTCTTCACCAAGTCGCAGACGCGAGTTCAACATCGTTTCTTTCTCTCCAAACTTAGTGTTTGTGATTCACCCTGAGTTTGAGGGGGGGTGTTAGATATATATGGTGTATAGCATATTTTCCTCTTTGTATAAGGGCTTAGATGCATATATGCCCAACTCATGTACATGTTTGGGCTGTTGCCCCCAGGAATTGAGAGAGCTTCATTCCTTCTAACACTAATATCAGCAAGTACAGCTATCTGAAGAGATTAATTGGATATGCAAAATTGCAAACTGGGTAAACCAGATAAAATTTGAAGATAATTGGATACAACCAACCATCATCCATCACTCATGACTCTAAGCAAACAAGTTCCACGGAGCAATTAAAACAAACAATGGGTGCAAAAGAGTCCCTTAGTCATCAAGAGCCAGGTAATAGAAGAGATCTAGCTTAACCAAATAGAGCCAGAAGACAATTTAAATATGTCGTCAATTAAGAAACTTTGCATTCATAATTCAAGATAGTAAAAAAACATTGAAGAGACCTACTGCTTGCCACCTGATGTTCATCAACAAATTCTTTAAGCCCCAACAAAACAATGCAATGGTTCATGCAGTATACATGACTTCGGTTGCGTTTGCAACCATGCAATTACATAAAGTCTAATCTAGTATCACATAAAAGCCACGTATCAAGCAAAGATCAGAACCAGATTATAAATTGAATGCAAGCCCAAGACACCCAAAAGGAATTTTGAAGTGTGAAAGCATCTCATACTCAGCATAGCTTCCATGGGTCAATCAACAGTCCTTAAGCATATGGCAAGTGATAACAGCAGACTTTAGGCAAACAAAAACGAAAAAAGAACAATTCGGTAAAACCATTTATATACTTATTCCTTGCAATCACTGAAATTCCAGGTAAAATATATGATAGTATTAGAACTTTAAGACAGTAGAAAGAATATAGGAGACCTACCGTCTACTTCAGCTGCGTAGGGGAGCAGAGCAGGCCTGAAGCGTCTGCCCCAACTATGGCAAGCTCGCATATGGTACAAAGCTGCCCTTCGATGGAAGGAACAAACCGGGATCCACAATATGGGCAAGAAATATCCTTTTGGCCATGGTAGATAGGAACATATGTAGCGCCACAAACAACAAATGGGTTTCTGAAGTCATAGTTCAGTTGGCGAGAATCAT